AGGGATGATGGAGTCTTTGCTCAGAAGCCTTAGGTGAGGTGTAGAGGCTGGAGGAAGGGCTGGGGTGGGAGGGGTCTTCTGTTGCCTCTATTACTATCCGGTTAGGTTGAAACAAACCCATGGCTTCTCCCATCTTCAAAATAACAACGTAGCTGGCACAGAATGGAGCTCTGAGAGTTCAATATTTTTTCTCGGAGACAAACAGCTTCTCCTGCTTCCTCTGGCCTGGCGTCACCGCCACCCAGCCCTGCAGAAAGGTGTCTGGGTGGAAGATGCAGATGCTGGCCTGGAGCTGGGGTTCTGTGGGGAAGGAAGGAGCAGGAGATGCAGCCCGGAGAGGTGCACCGTTCCTCAAACTGGCCCCGCACACCTGGACTCAGCGAGCCGAGCCGGTGCTCTGGGGAAAGTGGATCTCTGCATCTTCTGACAGCTAGCTTTGGCCTCTGTGGTTTAGTTAGTGTGAGCAGGTGGACCCGAGCTGGCCCTGAGCTGCTGGTAATGGAGACGGCAGTGCCCACCCCACAGCACGGGGTCTTAACAAAGTGCTTTGGAGCTGCGCGCTGGGCCAGCCGTGGGGGCACACCCTGTAACACAGTCCTCAGGAGGCTGAGGCAGGAGATCACAGCGCGGGCTAGGGGAGCCTGAGTGACACAGTGAGTTCAAGGCCAGCCTGGACTACGCAGTGATACCCTGTTCCCCCCAAAATTTATTTTATAAAAATCCATATCATGGAGAATTTGGAAAGCAATGAAACTCAGAGGAAGATAGAAAAAATAACCTTACCCAGAAAAACTGCTGTCATAGTTCATTTCAGTACATATTTCCCTTGTTTAAAAATATGTGCATATTTTAAAAAATAACATGTATACAAATTTTGAACTTTTTCAAGTTAGATATCTAATCGATACCATTTTTATGAACTGTTTTTCAAGTTAGATGTCCAATATATATATTAGATATCATTTTTATGAATTGTTTTTCTATTTCACATATAATAAATGCAGTGACAGATTTAGTGCTTATAAAAGATTTTGTACGTTTATTTGATGCATTTAAATAACTTTACTTCTATAAATGTAATTGTAGATTAATACAGACATGAATAATTTGATAAACAAAGTATTTTAGTAGTAGGGCTGGGGATTCAGCTCAGTGGCACTGTGCCTGCCTCATAAGTGCATGGTCTTGAGTTCGATCCCTGTACAAAAAAAAATCTCTATCTATCTCTATCTATCTATCTATCTATCTATCTATCTATCTATCAAGATGGTATTTTTTTTTCTTTCTGAAATCATGTGCTGTTTGGTTGGGAATTTTTATCTCCTCTATGACCCAGAAGATCCCCAAAACAACTCTTAAAGTTTTGCTACTGTAATTTTGATTAAATCTCTTGCTTGATGAAACACTAATTTGATTTCCTCTCCATAAAAAATACATACTGAACAGAGCACAGAAAACAAGAGCTTGAAAAGGCTCAGTCATTTTTCTGCTTTTCTCAGTTGGAAAGAAGAAAAGATGAAAATGATATTCAAAGAGAGGCTAGGAAACATACCAAAGAATTCTTCTTTAAATTGATAAAATAGGGACATTACTAGAACTTTAAAACTTGTGTACCTTTTAAATGTGTGTTTCCTACACATCAACTTACTTATCCAATTGAATTAAGGAAAGTTATAAATGGCTTCTGGCCTCAGCCACAGCCTCTACATTTTTATTTTGGGACCTGGGATCAAACTTGGGCCCTTTCACTTGGGAGGCAGGTGGCAGAACCTCTGAGCCAAGTGCCTTTGCTTTTACTGAGTCTAGCCTTTACTTTTGCTCGAACTTTGTGCCTCTTCGACATAGTTGGTTATGCCCTGAAATGCTGACATCCGAGAAAATTTTCTTTTGTCAGAATTTCCAGTAAAATGTAAAAATTATGTCATCCTAAAAAGGTTACATTTTAGGTACAATAATATGGTATCAAATAATTATAAAACAAGAGGCATGTCAGGTATGTCTGCGATATGCTTTTGCATGCCACCACTGTGAAAGCCCTGCAAGGATGCATGCCAGAGTGACAAGAGCACTGTCACTGTTAACAAAGCGCCAGGCAATTGTTTTTGCTTCTTTGTGGATTCAAAATCACCCTCTCTCCAGCAGTGAGCACATGTACATTGCATACGCAGAAAGGACATGATTTATTTTGAAAAAAAACTGGAAGGAGATTTATTGATTTCCTCACTTCGCTTAGAGGACTTGTTCTAAGCAAGCACTGTGTGTGGTTTCAGCGCAGCAGGAGCACAGGTAGAGGCCTCTGCTTGGTGGCCTGTGCAGTTTCCGTGGAGTAGGGAGAGGAGGAGATGAACAAGTCCAGTGGATGTAGTACGGGAAGGGAAGTGGGTCAGGTGCTCTGGGGAAGGGGGCTCCGAGGAGCTGCGGGCCCATGGGTCCCTGTCTCCCTCGTGCAGTCCAGGCGGGAAGGCACATGGTGAGGGACAACTGGGACAGTGGATGGTCCAGGCTCTTCTGTCCCTGCAGGCTTCCACTCCCTTCCTCTGGGTGGAGATGACGCTGGCTCGGCCTCCAGGCTGCGTCTGGGCTGGAGGAGCCAAGCGGCAGCGATCCCCCCTCCCCAGGCGTCTCTGCAGGGAGGACTCCACTGGCCAGGGCCCCTCTGGGTGCCGGGCACCTTGCTGTGTGAGGCCCTCTTGCCCAAGTCAGGTCCGTGGTGCTTCTCAGACGGGGACGTGAACGATGGAGGATTCAGACTATTTTACCCGCTGAGCACATGGGGAGTGCTCAGGCTGCTGCTGGACACCGGGGCTCCCTGCTGAAAATTCTGGGCGTGTGGTGAGAGGGAGGAGAGCGCTCTGGGACAAGCAGCCTGATTCAGGAGGAGTGCAAAGTTAGGCGAGTTTGAGGCAGCGCTGCTGACAAGGAGGAGGGTGTGGGGTGCGTGTGTGTGTGCAGAGAGGGTGCATGGAGTATCAGGGAGACAGAATGAACATGGCTTTTAATACCTTTTTAAAACAAAATTGTTCTAGAAAAGTTTCTAGAAAAGTTCTTTTTACTAGAAAAGTCCTTTTGTGTCTTTTTTTTTTTTTTTTTTTTTTTTTTTTTTTTTTTTTTTTTTTTTTTTTTTTTTTTTTTTTTTTTTTTTTTTTTTTTTTTTTTTTTTTTTTTTGGTTTTTTGAGACAGGGTCTCACTGTGTAGTTGAGACTGACCTGGAACTCACTATGTAGCCCAGCCTGGTCTCAACTCACAGCGATCTTCTTGCCTCAGCCTCCCGAGTGCTGGGATTACAGGTGTGTGCCACCACACCCGGCGTCCCATTGTGTCTTTACAACACAAGGTCAGAGGTTGCCTCTCCAAGGCCACAGCGAACCTTGTAGAGCTTTCCATGACACAAAGGGCGGGTCAGCCGGTCAGTATGAGACAGCTGAGCAGGTCTCCTTTGTGTGGTTATCAGCCAAGCATTTATGGCCAGTTTCTTTGCACCCAAGCTAGTGAAATGGTTAGTGGTATTCACAAATGTGGAATGTTAGCCACAGCGAAGTGTGACGTCTCACCGGGAGTCAAGTCTTTGAGAAGGGCAATGCAGGGTTCGATTGAGGAACTTTCAGGCAATGAACCTGTGCACTCCGTGAGAGTGGCTCACAAACCAGGGCTCTGGTGGAAGGGTGGCCAACAGCCCTGCAATTCAGGGACATGGGCTCCTGTGATGCTGAAGGCTGCCATTGCTCAGAGCTGTGCGTTTGTCTTCATTTGAGACAGGATTTTCTGAATCTGAGATTCTGAGAGACCTCAGGAGGCTTTGAAGAGAACTCAAAGCCATCCTTAGCACAAACAGGTGGGCACTTGCTGGTTGGCTGTGGTGGTACAAGCTGGAATCCCACCACTGGGGAGGCTGAGGCAGGAGGATTGCCTTGGAGGTCAGCCCAGGCTACATTCTAAGATCAAGGCCGGCCTGAAGTACATACGGAGACCCCACCCCCCCAACAAAGATGATCAAATGAGGCATACAGTCTTTAATTAAAACCTCTGCTGTAATAGCATACTTAACATGTAAATGCTATTCACATGAGTATAAAATGATTGGTGCCGATAGGCTTACAAAAGTGGTTTAAGTGCTATGAGTATGTGGCTTATTAACATACCTGCTCTGAAGGGTGTGGTGGACATTTACATGTACAAATGTTGGTGTGATATTAAAACCAGTTCCGTTCTTTTTTGCCACACTGCACTTTTTCTTTTTTCACGTGTTTATTTCCATCAGTACACAGTTAATATATAATGACTCCATTCCTCTGGGGAGTTGGTGTATGAACATGACACATCTTAATTCACCTCTTCTCCCCTCCTCCCTCTTGGTCCCGTTCCCATTTGAGAAAGTTCTGTCTCCCTACTTCCTATTGTCTAGCTTGTATTTTGCTATTTATTTATACTTTGGGTTTCTTATGTAGGAGAAACCATGCAGGACTTAAGCCTGTGTGCCTGACTTCTTTCAGGTAACACTGTGGTCCCAAGGTACATCTGTTTCCCTACAAGAGGCTCGAGTTTGTCTTGCTTATGGCAGAGCAGTGCTGTACCGTGTGTGAAGACCACATTTTCTTATCTACGCTTCTGTTAAAGGACGCGTGCATTTTTCTTGTAAAGACAGATCCTCGTATCTCTCAGTTATGAAGCATTCTGAAATTACAGCATGCAACTTCAAGTGTCCGTGTTTAAACCGTGAAGTCACCTTTGTACTGTCTTGAAGAACAGGATGTGTCCTCCTGCTGAGCCATGGCTAGGCGGGTCCCTGGGTGTGGGAGGAGTCGGGCTGCTGTCCAGTGTCTGCCTGGCCACGGCTGTGCCCGTGACACCGCGTTGTCTTCATCACCCACGGGACATTGTGATTCCTGTGGTCCGCATCCTAGGGTGCTTCTAAGGCTATTACAGTGACAGTACTGCAAACCCACTTTAATACGCGAGCCCTGAGCTTCAGGTCTTACTCACTGATGTTCTTTAATTTCAGTCTTTCCTTAGTAACAAGAACTCACTGCTGGCTCGCAGCTGGCCGGTGTCAACAGCTCACCAGACACCCACCCCTGGGCTGATTATGCTCCAGAGAGGCGCAGAGCCTTTCTCCTGCGACCACTGGTCAGAGTTCACTTCCTCTTTCTCCCCTGCTATCCACCCGGTAGTACCTGAACCTGCCCGTTGGGAGGGAGGGAGGGGACCGCCTGCCCAGCTGCGGGTGTGAGCCAGGACCGGCCGGACTCCCCAGTGCACGCAGACCGCCGCCGGGACTTCAGGTTCTGATGCTTTCTGGATTTCTGGCACTTCCTGGTGCAAATGCGTTTCTGGGTCTTCTTTATGCCTTTCCCCTCTTCTTCTTTTTTCTTTCACTTCCCTCCCTTCACTGTTTTGAGACAGGTTTTCTCTCCAGGGTCCAGGCTGGCCTTGAACTCTCCATGTTCCACCCCCTGCCTCCTGGGTTCTGAGATGAGGTGAGGGGTCTAGGAAAATTTTGTGTCCGAGCGCTGGGAAGGACGGTGAGCAGTGTCTCCTGAGGGCAGCTCCCCTGGAAACTGCAGCTCTGTGCCTGAGCCCTGGGGCGTTGCCTCCCTGCTGAGGCTGCTCTCTGCCCAGGGCTGGGCCCGGGTCCTGACAAGCAGACCCCTGGGTGGCACAGTCCTGTGAGGCACACTGTACAACCTGGGCCCGATGTCTGTCAGGTAGGTCTCAGGACCGTAATGGAATGATACGCCTTTCGGAACAGGAATAATAATGTGGAGTAAATGAAAACAAAGGAGTCTAGGCCAGGTTTGGGGTGAAAGGTGACAAAAGAATGGAAAGATACCTTCCTGGGAATTTGGGTCACTGGGGCAGCGAAGCACCCCTCCGAGTTGGGAAGGCTGCACTACATGTTCTTTCAGAGTGACTGGAAGGTTGGTTTTCTGAGCCAGAATCTCACCATGTATCCCAAGCTGGCTTGTAGTCCAGTCTGGCCTCAAAGTCTCCGAGATCCTCCTGCCTCAGCCTCTTGAGTGGCTGGCATTAGAGGGCCTTTTCCAATTTCAAATCCCACAATAACGGAAGAAACTTGGCGTTTCTTTGGAAAGCTGCAGAGTTAGGAATGCTTAGGCAAAGGAATCCCTCCCTATAAGCCTGCGGGGAGCAGGGCTAGGTCAGGTTTTTCCAGAGAAAGGCCGGCCAGTCGAAGGTCGTGCACG